CCCTCGCTCAAACCCGCAGGTGTGCCTGCAGCTCAGGGAGCCGGGAGCCCCCCCGGGACCCTGACTTGGTCAAACAGGAGGAGAGACACCGAGGACCTGGGAGGAGGCCACGTCCAGGCCTCACCACAGGCTCCCCACCGCCCCAGGAGCGAGCGCGTGCAGAGGGCACTTCTCTCCGCAAACGTCTCCGGGAAAGAGCTGCAGGAGCTGCCCTGGGACACGCCTGTGGCAGGTTCGCGTAGCCCTGGAGGTGGCCTGGAGGGTGCGTCCCTGCGTTTGCCGGGGTGGACCCAGGGCCACGTCCCCCTGTGACCACAGGGACCCCGGCCGTCTCCACTGGGGACTGGAAAGTTCAAGTTGCCGGGAGGCTCCGGGGTGCGGGGCGGGGAGCAGAGTTCTGTCCTCGAACGTCTTCGGCGCCGGGAAATTAGCATCGTGCTGGAGCTTGAGAGCAAAGGCCAGTTGCCAAGTAAAACTGCATGTGTCCTGGTGCGCGTGGTCTTCTGGAAAGTGTCTGTGTTGTCCTCAGCGACAGGTCTGGTTTTCCTTCAACGACATGGAAACAGTTCAGCGGAACAGCCATTAGGAGCTCGGAGTCTCAGGAGGAAGGAAATTCTCTCCGTCTGTCACATGCTGAACTCCCAGGACAGACGAACCTGTTTTGTTTTACAAATAAAAGAACTGGGAGGAAACCAAAGCCAGGAGTTAAGCACGAAGCGGGTGGTCAGCATTAGAAAGAAATGATCCCCGTGATTTGTTTTTTTCCATTAAATGTGACAAGAAATGTATAAGCGGCTGCTGGGAAGATCCTTTATTCAGGGCCCTTTGGGATGTTCTGTTAAAACCTCCCTCCAGCCGCAGCTTTCCCACCGTTTCCCAGCCAACGCCGAGGTCTCCCCGATGCCTCCCCAATGCCTCAGCGTGAAGTTTTGTTTCGTTTTATTTTTTCTGGGCTGATGAACGAGCCACCTTGGGCCTGATCCCGCTCACGCCTCCTGCGAGGGCCCCTCGGCGGACGGGAGCAGCCCTCCTGGGCCTCAGGGATTTTCCTCATCACAAAGTTCATTCAGTCGAGGTCAGATTTGTGCTTCAAATTCTGCCATTTTCTGTCTCTCACATTTTATTCAACTTACGAGGTTCCTTATTTTGGGGTAATTATCAGCATCCCCAGAGGGCGGCATTCGGTTCCTCACAGACCCCTCTGCACCCTGCGGAGCTCATTGTGCTTGGACCCAGGTCTTTTCCTGAACCCTGGTCTTTCCTTGGGACCCTGGTCTTTACCTGGAACATTGGTCTTTCCCTGAAACCCTGGTCTTTTCCTGAGATCCTGGTCTTTCCCTGGAACTCTGGTCTTTCCCAGGACCCTGGTCTTTCCCTGGGAGCTGGGTCTTTCCCTGGACCCTGGTCTTTCCCTGGGACCCTGGTCTTTCCCTGGGACCCTGGTCTTTCCCTGGACCCTGGTCTTTCCCTGGGACCCTGGTCTTTCCCTGGGACCCTGGTCTTTTCCTTGGATCCTGGTCTTTCCCTGGGACCCTGGTCTTCTCCTTGCACCCTGGTCTTTCCCTGGGAGCTGGGTCTTTCCCTGGACCCTGGTCTTTCCCTGGGAGCTGGGTCTTTCCCTGGACCCTGGTCTTTTCCTAGAACCCTGGTCTTTCCCTGGAACTCTGGGTTTTCCTGGGAGCCGTGTCTTTTCTAGACCCTGCTCTTTCCCTGGGACCCTGGTTTTCTCTGTCCTTCACGTGTTTGCAGATCCCACTTAAACTCCCCTTTTCCGGGACTTGCTTGTGCTCTGCCCTGTGCCCACGGACAGGTTGGACGCAGTTTCGAGAATCCCCTCCCTGGATTGTAGGGTACATGTTGCCTCCATAGTGGGTTCTCGAGGGGTGACGTGGCCTTGAGACGACAGGTGAACAGGCACCTGGTTCTGTTCCAGAGCCAACTGGACCCATAGGAGCCGTTTCCACCGCAGACCTGAGTGGGGCCCTGGAGTTGGCTCCTGCTGACACTCGAGAGCTAATTGTTAAAAACCAGGGACTTTGGGCCAAGCTGTGACCCACAGCGAAGGTCTGACCTGCCATGGTGGGAAATTCCTACCACGGAGATTACAAACCAGGGCTTGTGTTTTGTTGTGGTGGTTTTTCCCCCCCTGGGAAGCGCTTTACCAGCTACACCTGCCCATCGAATTCAGACATTTGAAAACTAGACAGAAACTCGATCTTGGATTCCTATTTTCACAATTTTATTGAACTCAGAGATTCGGCTTAGAGTCCATTGTGTGTGTGTGTATTTTGTGTGTCTAATTTGCTCTTTGTGGTCCTTGTCAGGAAAAGCCAGTAGCTTGTCTGCTCTGGAGGACGGATTGCATTAGATTATTCGGGGGCAACAAAGGCAATAGCAATGTCTGATCCGAAGGAAAACCTTTTAATGCTCAATACACCAGATGCTCCTGGAGAAACAGCAGAGCCGTCTGCACGGCCGTCGCCATTCGCAGATGGGAAATTGCTGCTTGACGGCTTCTGTGACCAGGACAGTGTAAAATATTGTGGCATTAAAATTAAGCAATGCTGCCACATCCAAAGTAGATACTGTTTTACACTTTCTTCAGTTCACTGGTTTCTGTGACTTATTTCAGGAACTGTTTGAAAGGAAACAAAGTAAATTATCTATGATATCTGAAACGTTGGTTATGTAGTTGCTGAAATTTGCCACCTTCTACCATATAATTTCATCTTTAAAAGAGAGATGTAAACTATGAACATACAATAAACAACAAAAGAAAACCAGACCCCACTGACATCTCTAATAGATTCATTTTTATTTAACCTGTCACACCATTTTCACGAAAATCTCCGGATGCAATTATCCACAGCGAGAAAATTTTCTATCTCAATAAGCAGCCTCCCATCGTCCCACCTTGTCTTCATTCATTTGTCCTCGTACGAAGAAATAAATTCCCAGTGATGAGCAAGGATTTAAAAAAAATATATCTTTATTGATTTCAGAGAGAGGAAGGGAGAGGGGGAGAGAGAGAAACATCAACGACGAGTCATTGATCGGCTGCCTGCCTGCGGCCGGGGCACGGGCCCTGACCGGCCGTCACCTGCATCCTAGGTCTCGATGCTCAGCCTCTGAGACACGCTGGCCGGGCAATGAGAGAGGATCTTTAAAACCTGAAGCATCTCACCCCGAGACAGCAGAGAGTAGCCGGACGTGTGCCAAACAATACAAAACCCATTCGGAAGACCCAGGACAATGAAAAACGGCCAAACAGTTATTTGCACATACGTTTTATTATCGTGATAAACGCTCTTTCCACAAAGTAGTTATGTGGTGAGGAGTTTCTGTGATTCTGAGCATTGAAAACACCTCATCCCTGAACTTGGCGTCTCGGTTATAACAACACAAGAAATGCCCCCTAACGCAGTGTAAGAGTGAGTTTGGACACCGCTTATCACGTGTAGCTCATATGATGCGTGGCCCATGCTGTGCAGCGTGAACACACAGGTGTGCAGGGAAACTACAGACCCAGGCACAGAAGTGCCCCCACCCCAAGCCTTTGAGGGAAGACCCCGAATCCGCTGTTCCCAGTCCTCTNACCCCAAGCCTTTGAGAGAAGACCCCGAATCCGCTGTCTTCAGTCCTCTCCCCTCGCCTCCCCCGATGCCGAGCGCAGTCTCTTGATAATCATTTTATGAAAGAGCAATGAATGAATAGTGCATGAAAAGCTAATTCAGCGCTTGAATGTATCCCATGGCCCCCCCACGCACAGAGGATGCATTGCCGCCCTTCCTCCCTGCTTCCTGTTGGAAACGCGTCTCCCGCCCAGGACGGCGTCAATGGCCACATTCATGAGGCTGGCTAACCACACGGCAGCCGGTGCTAAGTGACTCATCACCTTGTGCTCTTGCTGGACCGGCTCCGGCTCAGGCTTGGCTCCTTGGACCGGCGAGGCGTGGTCAGGGTGCGGTGCCCACCCCGCCGCCGGGAGAGCCGGGCGGACACTCCTGGCTGCGGGGTCCCCCCCGCGGGATGAAGGGCCTCAGTGTTGCCCCCGAGTGAACACTGCTTCCTTGTGAGGCCGTGAAAACCCTTCCTGTCCGGCAGGAACTGAATCAAAACGTCCTTTCGAGGCCGCAGGATGTCATTTCAGAGCCACAGTGTCTCTCTCGGCGGCTCACGCGCGGTTCGGGTTGTCCTCAGCCACACAAGGGAGCCGTGTGAGTCCAAGCCCGGCCCCCAGCCAGCCGATCCGAGAGGCCAGAGGATTCGGGCTCCTCTGTTCCTGGGTCTGTCCGTCAAACACTTTCACCTTATGTTATAATCAGTGACTATGTTCAGATACAAAAAGTAATGGGAAGATGCAGGCTGATTTAAGGAGATTACATTTAGGTTATAGATGTGCAGATTATACGATTTTTAAACTGGGGGTATTGGTTTAGCCAAATCCTATCTCAGCAATACTGACCCTAACCAACAGCAGCTGACCTGAAAACGAGAGGCCACGTGGAAAGCCGCTGTTTTAAGAATCTCACAATAACCCCCGGCCGGGTGGCTCAGTTGGTTAGAGCACCGTCTCCACACACCGAGGTTGTGGGTTCGATTTCTACCTGGGCACACACTAGGTTGCGGGTTTGATCTCCTGCCGGGGCGAGTGCAGGAGGCAACCAATCAGTGTTTCTCTCTCACATTGATGAAAATAAATAAAAACATATCCTCGGGTGAAGAGGAAAAAATATAATCTGTACAGGTTCCACAAGGAGGCCGTAAATGCTGTAAGACGCAGCCGCCAGGCCCTGCGCTTCCGCTGACAGGAGGTTGAATTTCATTCCCTGGAGCCGCACTGTGCTCTCTGCCTCGTCCCGAGAACCCTCCCGGCAGCCTCCCCGTCAGGGCAGTGGCTTCGCAGCCCGAGTCCCTTCTACAGACGGGCACGTTGAGGCTCAGGGAAGTTTCGTGACTTGTTGCAGCTGATGCCACGAAGCTCGAATTTAACCCTGAGCGGCTCCCGGTGAATGACCCCAGAGTGAGGGTCAAACGATCAGAAGTCTCTGGAAAACAAAAGCAACAGCAAACCGCATATATTTGTGCGTAAAACCCTCAATTGTATTGCTCTCGAATGCACGGCATGTGCACAGATTTAATTTTTTTCTATAACTGCTGTTCTAGGCCGACTTGGAAAACCCGTTTAAAAAGCGTCGGAAGACTTCGAACGCTGTTCTGTAAAATTACGTCTTGAAACTGTGCTTGGAAAATGTTTTGCGGAAAAAATAGCCCAATTACTTTCTGCTTTTCCCGAACACTTATGTCTTATGACGTTTCTTACGAGGGGCGACCCCCCTGTGTATTCGGAAATTAATATTAATAAGGCGTCTCGGGCGCACTTTGCTCTGCGCCCTTATTGTCGGTTTATCTTCCCTTCGCTCGTCGCTAAGCGTTTCTGTTTATTAGCTTTAATGTTTATTACTGGCCCCTGAAACAAAATAGATTTCCTTTTATTTAAATAAAGCAGAATTCTATATTTTGAGGCTTTGTAAATTCACTTTATGATGCTCAAAAAACTTTCCTCGGTGGGTAATATATTCTGTTTTGTTTTTTTTCTTTCTCATTACTTTAGGAAAGAACTTTCATTGCTACAAAGAGAAAATGTTTATGTATGTAATAGAAGCAGTGGCCTTAAAACAAAAAAATATATTACAATTCTGTGGAGCCTCTACACCCAGGAAACCATCTCGTCGTAATTAACAGCACCGTCCGTTTGCATGAACCACAGGAAAGCTGCCTAAAGGAGGTAAAACCGGTGCCTCTTCTCAGGGGTAAAAGGCTTAGAAGTTGCCCCGTGTTTACGGGGAAATAGCAAACCCTGAGCAACCACTGCCCAAACCCTGTTCTTGCCTCCTACCAAGCTTTATTTTTATTTTTTTAAAAATATGTCTTCATTGGTTTCAGAGCTAGGCGGGGAAAGGGGGAGAGAGAGAAACACCAGTGACGAGTGTCACACCGGCCGCCCGCCGCCCGCTGGGGATGGAGCCCGCAGCCCGGCCTGTGCCCTGCTCGGGAATCGAACCCGGGACCTCTGGGCTCATGGTTCGAGGCCCAACCACCGAGCCCCGCCGGCCGGGCTCCCTCATCCTTTCCTGATCTGGAAGCCTCGCGACATTCCCGCCGTCGTGAGGACAACTGTGCCCAGCGACTCTGAAGCCCCATCGTCTGCTGGGCCAACGGTGTCTTTGCAGCCACCAAACCCGAACAGAGGTCCAGAGAAAGAGGCATTTGAGCTGGGGCACAAAGGGGGTGCGTCGCGGGACTCGTTTGAATTTCCTGCTTCCCGGGGCATGTTCAGGACACTCAGGAGCCCCCTGGACCTCCGTCCGTCTGTGACACTGGACTCATTCACTCAGTTCCGCCGGCAGTTCAGGCTGGATGGGCGGCGGGCTCTGAGGGTCTGGCAGCCCCCCGGCCACCTGCTCTCCCGCCCTCGGCTGCCACAAGCCCCCCTTGTTCCGGGGCTGTGGGCACAGGCTCGGCCGCTTGGACGAGGTCGGTCCTGCGACCTGAGGCTTCCCCGGGGCTCCCCACTCCCACGATGGGGACACATTTTGTTTTCAACCCTACGGAGGGCTATTCCCAGCCCCCAGCCCCGTCACTCTATAAGCTGCCAGATTCTTAACTTGTCAGACTGCTGACTTTTTAATTTTTTTATTTCATCCTCACGCGAGGATCTGTTTATGGAGTTGAGAGAGGGGGAGAGGGAGGAACATGGCCTGGCTGCCGCGGCACAGTGGGAGCCTCGAAGTCACTTAAGGCAGAGACGTGATTTGGAACAATTTACGTTTTATGAAGATCTTTAGTTGACTTTGTGGGAAATGGAAAGAAAGGAGCTGAAAGCGGGAATGGGAAGGCGCTCGGGCTGTTGGCCGCTCCGGGCGCCCGGTGGAGACGAGATGGAACGTGGGGTGAGGCGCTGGCAGCAGGCATGAGTGAGGCAGGTTCGAAATATGCTCCCGAGGCGGGATTCCCAGGGATCGCGGATCCTCTGG